AAAATTGCTTCCTAGTCAGTAGCTCACTGCAGGCTGCTCTGAGCTGAATTCACTACCAACCATGGTCCTCAAGACCACACAGAGGCCATATCAGAAGAGAGAGAGTGCTGCCACCACAAAGAGAGAGCATTCTTTCCAAAGGAAAACAAAACAAAACAGGTGGCATAGTGGTTAAGATGCTGGACTACCACGTAGTCAACTGTGGTTCAAGTCCCAGGCCTGGTGGCTTGAAACTCATGCTGGGAGCATGTGCATATGTGCCCAAAATCCTGAGAGGAGAATGGAGGAGAACGGATTGCAGTGTGGCCGTCCTCCCTGGGGGTGTGATTTCTTGCTTTCTGCCTCTGTCTTTCCAGTGAGTGCACACATCTTATAGCAAAAATCTCTCTCTAAACAAACAGAACAGTGCTCAGTTGGCCCAGGATTCCAGAGGTTTGGTCATTATGACTACAGTGGACTTCATAGACAATGGGAGAAGTAAAATCATACTTACTGTTTATCTAGTGTATGCCAGAGACTATATTTCTTATCTCATCAGGATTGCATAAGAACCTCATATTGGGTCATTGGAAAAATCATAATGCATTTTTGCATAGAAAAACATGTCATGACTTCCAACAACCTAATTTTTTTTAAGAATTATTTTATTTAACTTTATTGATTTGTTATTTTTTAATATTTGATCAGAGAGGGACAGTTTGATAGAGAGAGATAGAAGGTGAGAAAGCAAGCTGCCAGATCTGGGACTCGAACCGTGGTCAGCCATGTGGGAGTCCCGTGCCGCTAACTTCCATGCCACCTGCTGGCCCCCCAACAACCTAATTTTTAAAAAAAGAATTCTTTTTCTTTTTTTTGGTGAGGTTTTTGCTATAGGGCACGTGCGCTCGCCAGACAGACAGAGACAGACAGAGAGACAGAAAGCGAGAAATCATCCCCCGGGGGGATGGTCATGCCGCAATCCCTTCTCCTCCATTCTCCTTGGGATCTTGGGTACCCATGCACATGCACCCGGCGTGAGTTTAAACCACAGGGTCCAGGACTCGGACCGCGGTCAACTACACGGGAGTCCAGTGACATAGCCATTACGCTAACTGCTGGTCCCAAAAAGAATTGTTTTATTAAGATTGATTTACTTTTAAAAAAATAATTGACCAGAGAGAGACAGAGCAAGAGAGAGTGTGAACAAGCAAGTGCCAGAGAGAGTGGGAGAGGGAAGGAGGGAGAGTGAGAAAGCAACCTGGTCTGGGTCTCAAACCATGGTCAGCTATGTGGGAATCCACCGCCCTTAACCATCATGCTACCTGCCAGTCCCAGCAATGACCCAGTATTATCTTCATTTTATCTGAGAAATCTGAGTCTCTGAGATGTTGAGTGATTTGCCCAATGTCAAAAAACTAGTAAATGGAGGAGCTAAGATCCAAATCCAGGCATAACTCCAAAGCTACACTGCTTTTTCCTGACTCTTTCCACTGATAAAGTTTTAAGAGCACTTCTAAGTCCTGCAACACCCATTGCACTTTTAATTTTTTTTAAGGATTTAAAAAAGTAATTCTTATTTTTAAATTTTCTATAGGCCATGTGCACTCATCAGAGAGAGAGAGGGAGAGGAAGAGGTAGGGGGGAGGGGAAGGGAGAGGGAGAGGAAGAGGAAGAGGGAGAGGGAGAGAAAGTGAAAAAGCAAGCTGCCAGGTCCAGACTTGAACTATGGTCAACCATGTGGGAGGAGTTTAGCGCCTTATCCACCACACCACCTGCTGTCCTCCATCCACTGTACCTTAATATGTTAAAGACCAGTTCAAGGCAGTGGCTTAATCTATGCACACAGATATTTTAAAGTTAATAAATCTGAGCATTTAAGTCTGAAGGAAAAGGAGAAAAATTGTCATGACTAGTTTCTAATTCTCTTCCTATTCCCCCTGCATTTTCTCCTGTAGTCAGCTGAAATGTTGCTTCCATTTCATTTCTTCAGCAACAGTTGCCCTTTCATCACATAGTCTGAAATCCATGACGATCCTGGAGGGAGTCATTAACAAAAACCTCAATTCTTCAGCTGGAGCACACACTGACACATTTACCTGCAGTGCCTTTTGTCAGATATATGTTCTCTGTGTTCTGGTGGAGAAGTCAAAATGATGCTCCAACCCAAGAAAGCTTTGGGTTTCATTGAAAATGAAAAGTGTAAATCTTGTGGACACTGGTTTCTCCTCATCTCATCAGACATTGGACACTGAGGGCTGAAGTCCCTTGAATGTGCCTACATGACATTATATTACAAAGTGTGGGTAGCCTTCAGAGAGCCACAATTAGCCTTTTAAAGCTGAGTCACCAGCTCTTTCTCCCTTCTCCAATCACAAGAGCCATTGCTAGTGATGAATGATGTGGGCCTAGGGCACCCACCTTCCTTGCCGTTGGAGAAGACAGCACAGGAGGGATGAGAGTGAGGATAGGGTACTCCTTAAATGAACAATACACAATGAGAAAGGATGTTCAAATCCTGAAATGCAGCCTTTTATGGATGCACAGTAAATCGATCCTTTGACTCCTGACTCACTGATGCATTAATTCTTCAAACGTCCTCCCAGGGGTACAGGGTTTGGGTAAGTGCCTCATGCAGTGTGGTGAGGTCTAGAAAAGACTAGGTAACTTTTTTCCTTTGAGAATGATTCATTTCTTTTGGAAACAAGGGTCCATTTGGCTACATCCAAGGGTCTAGGAGTGTTTTGTATTCCTTAAACAGTCTTGATGCAGGATCTTCTTTAGGGGTAGTGTGGTTTCCAAAGAACACTCCTGGTTTACAGTGATGAGATACTGGGAGATGAGCAGCCATCGGCAGACAGTGTGCAAATGACTTTCACAAGTCAGTGCCATTCATTGCCTCACAGACTTATCCCCAACCAATTCCAGGAGCTGCAAACATGCATGAGCATAACGATTCTTTCTTCTAAAATCACTTTCCCAGATACAACTTTCCTAGAGCCTTATGGCATCTGATGATAATCTAAGCCAAAGGCTACTACTATATAGTCACAGACCCAGTGGCTTTATGATAAAACTATGAGAACCAACAAGGACAGATCCACTTTCCATGAAGAGTTAGGGAAGGTTAGGCTGGGAGGATGGCATTCACTCCCATCACCCTTCTCCCTCACTTACCCATCATCACACCACCTTGCATTGCTCTGGTCTGTACCACATTGCCCCCTGGGGCCCACAAAACACAGAAACTTTTTCATTCTTCCCCCAAATGATCCAAATAATCAATCAAATAAATGATTTTTACAGCATTTCTAAAAGTTTGTAAATGTTTTAACTGAACATAAAATGGTACAAAAAATAATAGCAATATCAAAAATCCATATTGACCATTTGAAAATAAAGTCCAACTACAAGAAGCATGCCTTCAGGACTTGAGCTGACTTAATTGTTGACATCAGACAATTAGGTTTTAGCCTAAAAGCTAAGGGGGAAAGGAACATGTAATGGATTATATGTTAGGTTGTCGGGAAAGTCGTGACACATTTTTGCATAGAATAACAGAAAAATACATCATGAGTTTCCTAACAAACAATTCCCAGTAACAAAAGAAATTGTATAAGTTCATCTGGTATAGACGAACTTTTTGATCCTACTAGATTTAAGGAGGAATGTGTGTCATGTTCCTTTTGTAAGAGGCATGTAGCACAATGCTGACCTAGGTATTTCTATGAGTAAAATCGTTTCCAAATGCAGTTTTGCAAAAGATACAGAAAAGATATGCTTTAGACCACAGACATGAGAGGGAGTGCTCTTGTTCTGACTGAAAGCATGGGAGTCAGTCTTGAATTTTTCACCCAGGCAGAAGCCAACACAGTCTTCTACCTGAAAAGGCCATAGACATACTTGGGGAAGTAACAATATTTTATCTTAAAAAAAGGAAGCCTTGGGACCAGCAGGTGGTATAATGGTTATGTCTCTGGACTCCCTCGTAGTTGACCGCAGTTCAAGTCCCAGATCTGGTGGCTTAAAACTCAGGCCAGGTGCATGTGTGTGCATACCCAAGATCCTGAGGGAAGAATGGAGGACAAGGGGACTACAGCGTGCCCATATCCCAGGAGAAGTGATTTTTCCTTGTCTCTGTTTCTCTCTCTCCAGTGAGTGCACACACCCTATAGCAAAAATCTAAAAAATAAAAATAAAAAAAAGGAAGCCTTGAATCCTTCTAAGAGTTTAGCACCTATTTGTGGACTATGGATCTAGAATTTTATAAATTATGTCATGAAGCAGCAGGCTGTTTTGACAAGATTATAGACTTGTGATCAGATCTGGATCCTTTCCAGTGTGATTTAGAATAAACTACACTAGTATTTTTGTGCCTCAGTTTCCACATCTGTAATATAAGTTAATAATTTCTTCCTTAAGGAATCCTTGTGTGAAAGATGCCCAGTAAATGAATGCTGACTCTTCCTTCCCGTCTGCTCATAACAGTCCTGATACATTTACATAAGGATCACACAGACACAGGTACTGACCATGAGAAAAGCTAAGTGATCTGTATGAGGGCTGTAGCTAGGGAGTATCAGAGGCGTGGGTTAAACGAGTCTCATTTACTTGAGAGGTTTTTGCTATAGGGCACATGGGCTCACCAGACAGAGAGAGACAGAGACACAGAAAACGAGAAATCACCCCCCAGGGGGGATGGCCACGCTGCAATCCCTTCTCCTCCATTCTCCTCTCGGGATCTTGGGCATGCACGCACACATGCCTGGCATGAGTTTTAAGCCACTGGGTCCTGGACACGAACCGCGGTCGATTACATGGGAGTCCAGCAACATAGCCATTACGCTAACTGCTGGTCCCCAGTCTCATTTAACTCTAATGCTCTTCACACCTAACCATCTAATTAGTGGAGACTCTTCCATCCGTGTCATTTCAATTGAAAACGACAACTTCAGCTTGAATAGTTTGAGCATCAATCATTTCCAGGGAGAGATTATGGGCCAACATTTTGGCAAAGTACTCACCCGACCAAAGGTGAAGTCCATCAAAGCCATAGGAGTACAGGTCATCGCCAACACCATTGCCTCCCCAGCCTTCTCCACCTCCTGGGTATGGGGCATAGCCTGAGGAAGAGGCCCAGCCCACCCGCAGATGTGTGGGCTCTGCTGTGAGGAAGGGGTCCACATGGTCGATAATCAGCTCAAAGTACCACTTCTTGTACTGGGCCGAACCCTCAGCGACTCCCAGGAAGATGTTTGGCCGGATACTGAAATGAAACATGGAATAAGCAGTATCCACAGACTCTTAAGAATGGAGAAAGCAACGGAATGGTTTAATTCCATTAGTGGCACTGGCCCAATTAAACCTAGATCAAGAGCAATTATATGCTTTTTTTATATTGTGAAAAAGTAGGAAAACCTTAGAGCTTTTAACACTTGATCAAGTTCTTAGTGGAAGGTGTCAGAAGAACATTAATTCCACCATAAAATATAAAGGACATTTCTCTAAATACTCCATTCAAGGCAACCATGGGCAGTGATGCTGAAAATGATATACAGAATGATTACAAATTTTTGGATCTTTCTGCAAAGGAAAGGAATTACTTGCTCAAGTTCCATATTCTGGTAAATTGGTTTAAACACCCTCATTTTCATAATAGCAGCTTTGTTACCTAAGCATTATTAATAACCACGGCTTCTTAAAAGCATTACGAAGTCATTATTAGGCAAGCTTGTTAAGGGAAAGCGGTTTTAATGTGTCCAGGAAAGTGGTTAAAAGCATAGCACAAATCAGTTTTTAAATCTGGAATCATACTCTTAGAGATGCACTATTCCTGGGCTGAGACTAAAGTTTTGGGTGTGCAAAGAAAAACCAGGTTAGCAACAACAACAACAACAAAAAGAAAGTCTGTGAATGGATGCTCTATACCTTAAAGAGGAGGTTCTTTTCTCGCCATTGTAGACTAGGGTGTAGACTTAGGTATAAAGTGCCTAAAGGGCTGGGTGCAAAGCCTAATGATTAAGGGAGTCAGATTTCACATGGCTGACCAGGGTTTGACAGCTTGAAAAAAAAAAAAAACTCAAAAAAACCAAACCAAACCAAACAAACCACTGGAGCATGTACATGCTCCAAATTCTAGAAGGATGGAGAAATGAAAGAGAAAAGATTGTGGCATGACCAAGCTCCACTGAGAGGTGCTTTCTCTTTCTCTCTGTCTATCTCTGGCAAGTATATGTGCCCTATGGAAATTTAAAGGAAAATGAAAAAGCAGCAACTGAAGAAATGTAGACCTGTTCAGTCCATGTCCAGTGAGGTCAAATGACTCACTGCAGCCACATGTGAGGCTAGGGGTCTTGAATGAGCCTATGCTCTTCATCCTGGCCCCCACAGACAACACAGGTAAACGACCATGTGTCAGAGCATACCAAAAAAACCCCACAGTATCAACTCAAAACACCCATTTTATTAAGACAGATATGAATACATTATAACCAAGTTATAACCTGTGCTAATGTTTAAAATTAAAACACGGTAGACCTCTTAAATCCAAATTCTTCAGCTCTCAAGTAGTCCAGTACTCTATCCTCAGACACTTTTAGGGAAAGTTTGAGCTCCTCTGCTGAGAGGGGTAGATTACAAGGCCCCAGTTATCAAAAGTGCACATTTGCCTGTTCTTGTCTCCAGTGTATCACCATGGAAACTATGGGCATGCAACTTTGGATTTCCTATCTTTTCTGTCTGGAGACAAGGTGGGCAGAATCATGCCTGACATCTAGAATGATGATGGTGGCCTTACCTCGTCACATCGTTAATCAGTCGGGTCTGCAGAAGTAGGTTTCTCCGGGGCAGCAAATTGTCACAGATCAGATTTTGGTTGGCTCTCACTGCGACCCCATTACAGAGACAGAGGGAGCACAGAACATCCAGAACCTGTAGCAGGACATACCCACCAAACTTAGCACCACCAGGAGAACGTAGTGGACAGGACCAAACCCTTGACATGTGATAGCAACAGGAGTAGTGAGGGGTGGGAGCTAGACTATGGTGGAGAGCCAGCTCAAAGCTAAGGAGCTTCTCTCTCTTACTGGATAGAAGAGGATAATGCCCCAGAGGATAATGCTGTGTCTTTAGAAAATGAGGCTGAGTTTCCTCCTAACCCCTCATCTTAACCTTGTGCTCCTTTCTTCCAAACTCAGCATGCAACCTGTGGTGGTTGCTGTCATCTGAGCAAGTCTGAGCTCTTAAGCCACACTGTCTAGGTTAACATCCTAGCCAGGCCAGGACAGGGTGTGGTATGGCAGCTAAGGCACAAAATCCAGCCCTACTCTCTCTCAGATCAAATGCAGGAGACAGGGATAAATGGCCTTCTATTGGCCTCAAACAGAAGATTCATGCTCCCACACAGTTCTGAAGGTCCTCTGCACTAAGGATTAGTAAGCACTAATATGGCTCTTTAATGAAGAAGCACTTAGAACCTATTTCGCTAAGGCCCTTGTGCACAGCAGGCTCAGGAACCTTTGTGTGGGTGGGTAGAAGCAATGGGAGGGCAGGATCCTGATTATAAAAACCATCAACATTCATTCATTAAGATACCCTTAATTCCTAGAAATATTCAAAATATTTCACTTATTCTTCTTCTAGAAAGAGAACAAGCCCACACGGGCCCAGGTGGCCAATGAGTCTTAACAGGCCAGTCACTAAGCTGCTTCTGCACCTGTTTGCAGCTGCCTGGGCAGTGGGATCAGTCCCTTCCCTCCTTTCACAAGTTAGCCTTTTGCCTGTGTACTGCTCCATTGCACTACATCTTCTTTCATTCAGATCTTGTGCTCCTGTAAGGCACAGAAGTGGTGCTGGGCCAGCGCTGCCCCATACCCACTCTGCAGGGAGGAATGTGCCAACGGCAGCCCATAAATAATAGTGGCAATGTGGCAGGCTGCACCAACAGGGAGGTGTGCAGCTGCATTTCAGCCTTTCAAGGTGGCCACAGAAGACTCCATGCTTAGCGGGGTTGGATGGCTGCAGGTTGTTGATGGCATCTGTACCCATAATTCTCACAAACCAATTTTCTACCTGACTCCCTAAATGTCAATTTTTGTTCCAGATAAATACAAAGCATGTTTATGGGACAAGCAGAATAGAATCCCAAAGGCAGTTTTATAAGGGAATCTTACCATTACCACTCTGTAAAAGATATCAACAGTGGGGGACCAGCAGTTAGTGTAATGGCTTTGTCGCTGGACTCCCACATAGTCGACTGCAGTTCGCATCCCGAACCCGGTGGCTTAAAACTCACGCTGGGCGTGTGTGCGTGCGTGCCCAAGATCCCAAGAGGAGAATGGAGGAGAAGGGATTGCGGCGTGGCCATCCCCCCTGGGGGGTGATTTCTCGCTTTCTGTCTCTGTCTCTCTCTGTCTGTCTGGCGAGCGCACACGCCCTATAGCAAAAACCTCTTCAAAAAAAAAGGAAACAAAAAGATATCAACAGTGGAGACCTGAAATCTGGATGATGATTTCTCACTCTGAGAAAAGAGTCATAAACGGCTAGGAAATTAAGTACTTCTCATCTGCCTATCACATATTTGCATCATTTTTTGCCTTGGAGTGATGGCTGCAGGAGCCTTGCTGTCACAGCCAAAGGGAAAGCAGAGCTTAATCCACTCACAACAGGAACAGCAAAGAGAAAAAAAAAAAGGCTCTGTAAAAAGCACAGTCTCCTACAGCAGTGGCTCAGCTATAAATACACGATGCCATAAAGGATCACAGTTGACATGGCTCAGCCTTCCTTTTAGGAAGTGTTCCTTTGGATAAAACCAGGAAATGCAGTTTTAGGAAAAGCAACTTCCTTTTCCTAAAAAAAGTTTAAGTCAGCTCTTTTAAATGAAGGGAATGTAGACAGGCCCAATCCACCATGGGGGCCACACAGGCACTCTGCCCAGAGGTCCTCTGCACTTTCTGACAGAGAAGAAGCATCTCAGCAAATTCTGGAATGCCTGGCAGGCCAGGCAGGTACTGTTAGGTGTTCACCAGATTCCATTTCCTTTTCCTCCTGAGTGCACAAAGAAGCTACATTTCCCAGCTTCCCTTGCGGTTGTAAAGGGTCATGTGACTGAGTTCTGGCTAAGGGGAAAATGGGTAGACAATATACACTTTTAGGTCTGGACCCTAAAAACCTCCCATACAGTCCTATGTGCACACATTTTTGTTCCCTTTTACTGTCTCGCTCTCGAGTTGGATGTAGAGATTCCACAGCTCAAGGATCCCCTTACTCTAAGTGTGAGCCCTGAGCCAGACTGTGCTGGTCCACTGAGAAGAGAGAGTTGTTTGTCATAGGAGTTAAGCTTCCCTAATCAATGGTCCATTTTGTACAGTTTATTTACTCCTGGTTGTAATTGTTTTCACTGGTGACACATCTCATTCAAGGGCCTCTCATTTTGCTTTTATTTCTAGCCATTTCTATCCCAGACACAAACTTAGGTGGGGATTCTGCTTTAAAAATAAGAAATACATATATATATATATATGTGGAAATATTTTTTGGCTACTGTATTTTGCCACTAGCTTTTATCTGTGAAAGCAGACTTACCAAAAGAAAAAAAAAAAATAGTGCTAGGGGGCCATATGGTGGTGCAGCAGTAAAACATGACATTCTGCAAGGCAGAACCCTGTGGGAAGTTTCCAGGTTCATGTTCGAAGAGCTCCCCAGGTATGCCAGGCATGCACGTGTCCATCATCCAGGCTGACTGAAGGCTGGGGTGGGTAGTGGCATCTAGAGCCTGTTAGAGATGCTGTCTCTCTCACTCACAGAGGAAATAAACAAACTTTAGAAATGTTACCTATTAATTGTTCTCTGATTTTTAAATGAAGTCCTATATTTGAAAAACGAGTGCTTTGCAATCTCAGAGGGAGAGATTTTGATCTCTCTGTGGATGAGGATGTAGTGGTTGTGAGTAAGGAAGGACTTAGCCTTGACTACCTGGACATGAAGAACTGATTTTACAGAGCTGTCATAACAATTGGGTACAAACTTTTTGCCTTCTTGTGCTCTATCCATTCCATCCCCAGCCCAGGCTAAACTTTTGATTCTGGTTTATACTTTCTGGAATCAATGATACTATTTTATGATATATTTGTCTCACAAGTGGTTCCAAATTTTTGTGAAACAAAGAAGATAATTTTTTTAAAAAATTATCTGTGACAACCTTGAGTAGATTTGAAGTAAGGTAGCTTGGGGAAGGCAAGTAGAAAGGACATATTTTGTTGTATTAATAGAGTTTTTACTCCATGGAAAAGTTATGGGGTCATTGCTATAATCTTCAACAATGATATTTAACAAACGATAAAAGCATGCTACTGTGTAGTGATAGGCATATGTGGGATGAGATGGGCTGTACATACACGCAGGCTTCCATGAACTCAAGGTGAGACAGGAGTGCATTCGGAATCTACTCACTCACTCCTTTTACTCATTTATTAAACCACCCTTAAAAAATATGCACTGATATTTGCCATGTATAACACATGAATTTGGCATGATTACAATGACAAACATGGTCTCTACCATGAAGGAACTTACAATCAGTTTGAAGGACAGATAAGAATTTATTTATCATTTACTTTAATTTAAAATCATGTTATAGGGCATGCACATGTGCTACGGAGAGTTAGGGAAAGTGAGAAAGTATCTCCCATGGGAAAGGCCACAGTGAATTCCCTTCTCCATTTTCCTTTCAGGATTTTGGGCTCACACACATACATGCCTGGCATGTTTTTTAAGCTGCTGGGTCCAAGACTTGACTGCAGAGCCAGTCATGTGGAATATAGCTGTCTTAACCACTAGCTACATATTTTTGTATAGAAAAATACATCATGACTTTTCTGATGACCCAATAGTTTTTTGTTGTTGTTGTACTTTTTTTTTTTTTTTTTTTTTTACCAAATAAGAATTTTGAATGATCCTGGAAAAGTTGGAAAGGAGGAGGTACTGAGAGCCATAACAATGAAGTGAGAGGTCAAAAGGCATCTGGGAAATAGTGATAGGGCCCTGAGACAGCCTACTGTCCTCATTCCTAAGACTGTGCTTTTTTCTCTATAACTTCTTAACCACAAAATTGATTATGCTTTAATGAATGCCAATGCTTTCCGTGGAAGGAACAGAGCTAATAATTAAAATACCATACAGAGGAAGTAGAGGTAGATAATTACTACCATTATATAGCCTCGATTCTAAGCACGGGATTAGAGGTGGCATTCCACAGAGAGGACTTTTCAAGCTCACAAATGGCACAAACCCCTTTTAAGAGAAAATGTCATGGCGCTAAAGACTACCTTCATGAACTCAAACTATAAAGTTCTAGTCCCAGAATCACTAATTTATCATTTGAAAATATCTTCTAATTGTGACTTTTCTACTGCCAAGAGTTGTGTATTCAGATAATTATAAAAATAAAAGTCACGTAGGCCAGCTGGTGGCCTGTGGTTAAGGCAGCTGGGTTCTATATAGTTGAGTGCTTAAGAGATTATCCCACACTCCCCTGGGGTGCTTTATCATCCCCCCCATCTCTCTCCTAGAAATGCATATACCACCTAGCAAAAAACAAACAAACAAACAACAAACAAACAAAAAACCCCCATGAAATTAAACATATCCTCCCAGAACATACCGACTCCAAAGAATATGTTCAGACTAGTCCTTTTCTGTCATTACTGAGCCATTTGGCTTCTGGAAAATTAACATCTGAAGACCCATATCCTGGCCTTTTCTCTATCTATATCAAGTAGAAATAATAATTGTGCTACTTCAGAGGGTTGTAACGACTACTGAGAAAGGTGCATGTGAACATGGAGGGCAGTACCTGGCACGTGTTAAGAGCATTATAAATGTTATGATCAGTATTAATTTCATTGTGCTGTTAGAAGACTCCTGTATCTTTTGAGTCACCATCTTCATGGAAATCTAAGTGAAAGGGTCAGAGATTCCTGAAAACCTACCTAGGACTAGAGAAAATAGAGCAACCTGGACAGGAGAAACTTACCTTGGCAGTTTCCAAGCAAAGATAAAGTATCTCGTCGCAAGCCTATCCTACATTCTGCATGCTCTTTGGGAACTACCACAGGCAGAGATCATTTGAGCCTGACTTTTTCTTTGAAAATGAAATTTAGCCAGTCTCTAAGAGAGGATCTGAATTAATGGAAAACCAGCCTTCGCCCAAAATCTATCAAAAAATAAAAAATAAAAAGGGACATCCTTGAGGAGATGCTTACATACCAAGATCACACTGTCTCAACTTTTACAATATGCCAGATTTTTCAGACTGTGCCTTGGCTCTAGAACTTTAAAGATGACTTTGCTTGTATACTTGTGCAGTTATCTCAGATCGGGTATTGGTGTCTAGAAATATTTCTGCTGACTAGGTCTCGCTTTTCTCAGCTGTGGAAAGGGCACAATAGTAATCAATTTGCCATCAAATGACAACCATTCGATGCATTGTAGCTTCTGGCTCAGTGTAGCCATAGCAAAGCTAGTTATTCACGCAGTGCATTATGTGGTACCATCAGAAAGAAGCCTCTGGGGCAATGAAACGAGAGCATTTTTCCTGGCAAAGAGCTTCTCTGACATGTGCATGAAGATCACAGTTCCCATTGTGGGTTACTTGGGTGCTTATCAATTATGCTAATTACACTCTGTAGGCAGGAAGAAACAGGTTGGGACACAGAGAAGCTTCACGAAAACTGGAGCCTTATGACTGCTCTTGATTTATCTCATTAGTGAAAGCAATTCTAGACCTCGCATTAATTTTTTCTATTCTCTGCCTAAACACTCCACACAAACCAAGGACCATGACTTTCCTCTTCCTAGGGAAAATGCACCGCACGTAGTCAATGTTGCAGGGGCTCATTCTCCTAGACTCACTGAGACACGTCTCATCTGCCAGCCTCCCTCCAAATGATGAACAGAGGGGACCAGTGACCAAGACAAGGTCTCTCCACTCTGAAAAGGCATAGCTGCTGTTCAGCATGCCCTTTCATGCCTTCTCCTCTTGAAATACGCCCCTTCAGCCTTCAAATAGCTTGTCTGTCCACTAATTAGTTAGTACAGTAGCCCTACATGGGGTACAGAGAGTGAAGGGTCAGGATAAAATTCACCTTTTAATAGATTTCTCTCACAGATCATTTATAGAAATGGAGAGACAGAAGCGAGAAATTACCCCTCTGGGGGAATGGCCACTCTGCAATCCGTTCTCCTCCATTCTCCTTGGGATCGTGGGTGCACATGCACATGTGCCTGGCATGAGTTTAAGCCACCGGGTCCGGGACTCAAACCGTGGTCGTCTACACGGAAGTCCAGCAACATAGCCATTACGCCAACTGCTGGTCTAATTGTCTCGACTGTCTCCATTTTACTGACAAAACAACTGAGGTTGAAGACACATGGCTATTTTGTATCAAAGGGTGGAGCCAGAGCTTCAGTCCTCTTGCTTGCTCATGCAGAGGTTCATTTGCTTTCATTGGTTTGACTCATAAATCTAATTTTGTTTCGGAACAAGCCATGCTGCCAAGGCTTTCTATACTACTTTTAAGCTGATTTACGCATCTCTTCTTTGAACGGATTGGTATTAGCTCTTTCACTACTGAGTTCCTAGACCCTAGGATGGGAATCAGTCTTGGGAAACTGGCCTTGTACAGAGCCTAGCTAGGTGCCCTACTGTGAGCTATGTGTTGAAGGATAGTGATGACAAACAAGGCTTGGGAAGCTGGTGGAAACCCAGGGAAAGCATCCAAGATGCAGTGTAGCTGTCTGGTTTGGAGTGTGCTTGTAGGCAAGGAAGGTCTTTCACCAGTTTCCTCAGGTTTTAAAAACGAAAGTCAAGGAGGAAACTGGCCAACACATTCTTGGCAGCACAAAGTGGTTATGAAGTGCTGGAGAGGGAAAAAAGTAGGTGAGGCAATTGCTGTTCGGCTCTACCCATACCCACCTTGTGATTCCGCCCATGTTTATCCAACAGGGAGATGATGGACTTGATGTGGCCTTCTGCTATGAGATTTAAGGCTTCTGGGCTTTCAATCAAGATACAGTGCAAAACTTCCAGGATACCTACATGGATGCCACAAAAATCACTTGGACATTAAATTGCTTGCAGAACTGACCATAATTTAGAACACTGAGCATGAAAAGACTGCCCTGAGAGGACAGAATATCATCAGTTCTTTGAATCTATTAAATATTTCCAGCAAGAAGATGCAGTCATTTCTAGGAGACCACAAGAGCCCCTGGAGGTCAACCAGTCTATAATTTAGAGGTGATATTAATTCAGCACTACTCCATTTCCCTCTTTCTAGATGAAAACGTGAACTTTGGATGTCAAAATATACAGAAGAAGCTATCAAATATCATTCTTAAGCTGATCACAGCAAACAACACTTCATTTAAAAATAGATATAAAAGCACATGTCTAGTTTACTATAAATTCAAAAGGCTATTCGAGTAATTCAGAAAATATTGTGAGTGTCTCCCAATAGGAATTCATCTAGGAACCACTCCAGAAGTTATTTTAATTTCCAGAAGTTATTTTAATTTCAGATGCATTGGTGTACCAAACCATAACTCATTAAATCAAGACTCTTTGGCTCTGCTTCCTTTTCATAGCATACTGGCTGGTTTTCTGTATTAAGCAAAGGAAAGACATAAGAAGAGCTAACTGGTGCCCCTGAAGCCTGGCATATGAGGGAAACACCATGATGAATATCTAAGTAAAGTAGCTGGCCAATATCTTCATGGTTTTTTTAAGGAAATTCCTCTTGGGCCAGGTAGAGGTACAGTGGTAATACAACTCGGTCTGCAAATGAAAGGTCCTGGGTTCATGTCCTGAACCTCTCTGAGCCATGTGTGGGCATACACATGTGTGCCTATGATCTGGCTAGCTGAGACTGGGGCTGGATTATGATGCAAAGACCCTATTGTGTGTGTGTGTGTGTGTGTGTGTGTGTGTATGTGTGTGTGTGCATGTGTGTCTCAGAAGAAATAAATGAATCAACTTTGAGAAAGAAAAATCCTTTTGATGCTCTTTTTCCTCAAGGTATTCATGAATTTCTGTTGTGTAATCCAGACCATGAGAGGAAGCACTGAAGAAAAGGAAGGTTAGGAAGATGGCCCTTAGGGGGACCTTCTATTGGCTGATATGTTCAAGCACTGACTGCTTCTAGAATGTGAGAAAAACATTAAAACCTTTTGGCTTCTCAGAGGATGGGCCAACATCTGTCGTGTTCATGGGCAGGGACATGGCAGGAAGCCTTTCTGGAGAAGAAAACGGTGTCACCCACGATGACAGCACTTTTGGTTCAAAACCTCTGTGAGTCATCAAGAAGGGCTACAGATACACGTGGGGATTCAAGGGAGTGGCTGAAGAGCATAATTTCCTCTTATTCCACAGACGTCCTTCAGTACTATCTCTAACCAAAGCCGAACAATATTGAGAAAGAGTTCAGAAACCCAGAGGGCAGGAGTACCTGCTGCGGTCAAGAGACCAGGATCTCTGGGCTGGAGGTTGGGGGAGGGGCAAGGTGAAGCCGAAGGCACAAAGCAGAAAGTTATCCAAAAAAGAAGGCTTGTCAGTCTGATCCAAGTTGTTAAATGGAGTTGTTTGAGTTCCAAGAAGCTTTAAGACGTTCTCTTAAAGTAATTGGTTGAGGATTTATTATAATCCAGTACAAAAGAGCCAACTTTATTTTTTCAGACAGAAAATTAAAAAAAAAAAGTTACCTTTTTCAGATATACATTCTTGTCAATTATTACCTGAGGAAGATTCTAGTCTGTCCAATTTACTGATTAGCCAATCAAGGTTATTGGAAAATTGAGCGCAGTTGTTTCTGTTTCCACGAATTAGAGCCGCTGGGAACAAGGAAACATCTGGTTATGGAGGTTAAAAGCATACTGATGAGCATAAGAACTCAGAAAGCTGTTGAATTCTTCATCTGCTTAGCAACCAAGAGGGACTGAAAGACAATCTTACTCTTCCTGGCCCTTTGATACAATTCTGCTTCCTATATTTAGAAGAGTAAACAATCTAGCATTCACTCACTCCCTCAACAAATATTTCCAGAAGATCTGCTACTGAGCACCTGTCCAGTGGCTGAGAACAGAGCAATGGGGCAGAAGGGGAAGATTCCTTGCCTTTTCATGTCATGGAGAGAGACAATAAATACATACATTAATAAAATGATTTTACATGGTGATAAGCAAGAATTTAATATCTGCCTGGTTACTGACTTAGTTTAACTTCATGCACCGTTTCTTATATCTAGCTGGAGATGTGCTATTCATTGTTGAAGAAAAGTATCCCAATGAATACAGCCAGGAAGCCTGGCTAAATTAATAAAACATAACAATAAATAATTATAAAATGGGGCCAGCAGAAGGCATTCTTAGAGCACCTGACTTCCCCATGGCTGACTGTGGTTCACATCCTGAACCTGGCAGCTTAGTTTCTCACTTTCCCTCTCTCTCTCTGTTTCTGATACCTTATAGCAAATTAAAAAGTGATGATAATGATGAGTGAAATAATTCTGTTTAAAAAACCCTATAAGATAACTAAAGCATGTCACTATATATAGCAGTTGCTCTCAAAGTGTGGTCCCTGGATGAGGACCATCAGCACCCCCTGGGAATCCATTTTAATGCAAATTCTAGTCCTCATCTCAGATGAACAGATTTCAAATCTCTGGGGATGAGGTCCAGCTTCTGAGTTTTAACCAGCCCCTCAGCTGGTTCTAAAGTCTGTTCACACTTGACAACTACTAGCAGGTAATATTGCAGAGCGGAGAGAATTTTGTATTGGTCATGCCAAGCAACCTTCCCTCCACAGGGCATGAACAGTAGATGCAAATCTGGAATCAGTCCCTGTACATTGATTAGTCTCCAAGTAGCTTGTCCTTTGTGTGTTTGGTTTGCAGGCAATGGAACTTTAATGAAGCTGGTAAGTGGCAAATTTAGGATAAGGAAAGGCCCTCCCTAGGGCCTCTACTTTGTATCTCCTCAGTGGAAGACAGAATTCAGTCTGAGTGCCTAATCTGCTTTTCAGTTCAGCTGCAGAAAGGAGGTAGGTCAAGCTCTAGAGTCAAACTGCTGGGTCTCAGCCATAGCTCCATCACTCCCTAGGTGTGTAAGTTCAGACCTGAGCATCTCTGTGCAGTTGTTTCTCCTTCAGTAATAGGGATAACAACAGTAGCTATACCTCAAAGTGTTGCTCTGAGGATCAAAAAGAGATATTCCACTGTTAAATGGAGCTCAACAAATGTTAGCTATTGCTGTTGCAGCAACACTGCCATGTTTGAGACAAATCATTACCAAACAGTACAGTATGAAGAGACTTTACAAGGTCACATAGTACAGGGGTGATCCAATCAGCCTGATTTTTAACATGGAGAACAGGTCTAGACTGATTTCTCTGCTTCCCTCTAGTCGGCTGAACTTTCTATGTACTTCCTCTCAGTGGACAAACACCTAGACCACAGCCCTGAAATGTGGGCAGCTATGGGTGGCCACTTTCTAGCACAGGTTGATACTCTCCTCCTGCACCTCCTGCCCAGGCTTACGGGATGGAAACTGTTACAGCAGGCACTAGTACTGTGAGAAGAAAGGCTGGGTGCTGGAACATTTTATTGTAACTTCCTGTCTTTTCCTTTCCACCAACATGAAATGAATGGCAGGCCAGTCTAGTAGGAATCATGACTAATAAATGGATAAAGGAAAAGGCACAGAATTTAACAGGGTAACTATCCTCAAAGAGCAGGCGGTATCACTGCAGAAGTTTAAAACTGGAGCATGCTGTGAGGACAGCCTCGTCTTATTTCCTCATTTTAAAGATACAGAACTGAGGCGAGCGCGTGAGCGACTGTCAAGGGTTTCACAGGTAGTTTTGGCAACGCTGATCGCCATCTGCTTCCACTAGCTGATGCCGCCTTGCTCTAAGTTTGGAAAGTACCATAAGCTAGTAGAGAAGAGAACACGTGGCTGGGTTAGAATCAAATGATTAACAAAAGGCTTCCAAGAAGCGAGGCCAGATGACAATCCTGGGTTCTCGTGTGGAAATTCGGCATCTACCGCCCTTGGGAATCATCCCAGGGAGACGGCGCTGCATGTGTACTTACCCAGCAATTTGTACAGCAGGTTCAGAATTTCTTTCCAGGCCATACCACTCTCTTCTCTTGCGATCCCTGCAAAATGTGCTACACTGTTGTAGATGTTTAACCGATCAATGCAATTTAACACAAGGGCCAACATTCCCTGAGAAAGAGAGTTGAGGAAAATGTAAGCATCCCTGATTAAGAAAGCAAGATCCCTTTTGCTCTTTCCCCTCCCGAATCACCTTTTAAAGCTGGTAATGCTAATATGCAAACAGACCTCATGGTACTTGGTTGGATTGTTTTTTACTCCTAAAACCAAAATATGCATTTTTATGCCTCAGAGACCTAAATAGCATCCCTTCTGGGAGTGAGTCAGCAGTGTCTTCTGACGAGTTTGCCCCACGTGTCTAACTCAATCCAAGGACATATTGAGGAAGAGGGAGCGTGAATGAGTCTCCCAAAAGTCTGCTGTCTAGTGTGAAGTGATTCTGAGTCACCTAGAAACAGGTCTGGATATAGTACCTATTTTTTCTCTTAAGTCTCGAATAAGTTCAAGAAATTTCATTCAGATACACAAAGCAACGATGCTTGCTTCTCCTCCACTTCCACCTAAAAAGGCAGGATTTAGAGACTGAAAGAGGATTTTCAACTGCTTTCCCATCTCATTTGCAACACTATGCTCCCTAATAAAAGCAGCTATCCCTAGCTGTTCTTAAAGAGTAGGAGGGAGACCATACGTGTCGTCTCGGTACCCTGTGATGATGTAGGACGCCTCTGAGATAGTCAGGCGAGCCACAAGACGGAGCAGCGACGGTTCCACACTCCAAACCACTGACTTTGGAAATACCAAAGGGGCAAGTCCATCCCCAGACATGAGGGGCTGCAGGACAGTCATGATCTGTCAGCACCAGGTCATCATGCCCCAGGCCTAAGAAGGCCTCTGAGTTCTCTAAGGTCACACACAGAAAGAGATGGAGCCAGAATGAGAGCCTGGGTCTCTTACGCCTCCAGTTTACGTTTCTGGTCACATCCAGGCATCACCCTCAGTGACTCGGATGCTCAAATATTATCATAAGAACTAGCATCCTTGGGGCCAGCAGGTGCTGTAGCAGGTGTGGTGCTGGATTCCCACATGGCTGACTGTGGTTCAAGTCCTAGATGCAGTGGCTTGAAGCTCATGCTGGGTGTGAGAGTGCTTAAAATCCCAAGAGGAGAATGGAGGAGAAGGGATTGCAACATAGGCCATCCCCCTTGGGGGGGTGTGATTGGGTGATTTCTCACTTTCTCTCTGTCTCTGGAGAGCACACATGCCCTACAGCAAAAATCTCTCTGAAAAAAAAAAAAAAGAAAGAAGAAAAAGAACTAGCATTAACTGTATCTTTCAAATCAGATTCTCAGACATTCCTGATGTGGTAGAATCAAAGCACATGCATTTCTCAAAGGGGCAATACTGACATGTCCCCAGATCTGGGAGTCATAGTCAATGCTATACTCTAACAGCTGACATGCCTTGAAAATGGATTTTGGATAGATATGTGGCACTGAAGCTTTAAAACCTGTTTCAAACATGCTAACCATTGCTAATGTAACCAGGAAGGTCAGCTTCCGATAGCCCATTTTCTAGGTTCCCAATCGCGTTCTTGTGTGCCAGCTCTGCCATAGCATGTGCGTGCAGAGAGACAAAGCTGAATTGCAGTTACAGGGATATTTTAGCTCTGAACATAAAGAGAATCCCACCTTTCATGTTTTTGGACTTACCTCCTCCTTGAAAAGGTTCTGTCTATTTTTGAGCGAGCGGAGCTTGTTCTGTTTGTCCTCATGCCTCATCTCCTCCTCTGGTGGTTGGAAGTAGGCAATCAGGTCCTGTAGGGTCTGCAGGACCTCTTCTATGGGCAGCGTGATGGGGGCAGCCGTGCGGTTATTCCCACTAGAAACCACGAGATTGACATGGCTCAGGCGCCAGCTTCCAGCAGGTCCTGACATACATCTACAGGCTTCCCCTGGCCCACTCTGGTCCCAGCAAACTGCTTCCTGGAGTAATCACTGTACTAACAGCTACACAGTGAAGTTTGCCAACCACTAGAGGCACAGAGCAGCATATCCGCATTCAGTTTTAAAGCTATTTCACAAAGAGAGGGAACTTGCTTTGTTTGACATATTTACTTTCATGCAATTTTACCCTGTTCAGATTGCTGGGATGGGGTCAGCAGATGGTATGGTGGTTAAGATGCTGTACTCCTACATGGCCAACTGTGGTTTGAGTCCTGAATCCAGTAGCTTGAAAATCCTGCTGGGCACATGTACATGCACAAAATCCTGTGAGGGGACTGGAAGAGAAGGGATTGTGGTGTGACCATCCCTGCTGAAGGGGATTTCTCATTTTCTCTCTCATTGTGTGTGTGTGTGTGTGTGTGTGTGTGTGTGTGTGTGTGT